AATAGTCTAGTAGAAATTGATTGTTAACTGAAGACACTTTTTTTTGTTGTTGTTTGAAATTGCTCCAATTATAAGTCTGAATTCATTGAAAATAGGCAGAAAATACTTGAATTTCACACATGACTTATTTATTACACTATACATACTACAAATCTTTAGTAAACTATTTAAAAAATACGTTATAAACTGAAGGTTTTAATATTATATGGAAATTTCTTTAAGCTAAAGTTGTAACAACTTTGATACTAAATTACAAGAAAATGGTAAAGTTGAAATTAATTTAGTAAACGTATTTTGTTACTAGAAGTTTCCAATTTCATTTGAATACTTTACTTTTACTATGTCTTCAATTTTATATTTTCATTTGCATACTTTACTTTTACTGTGTCTTCAACAGTCTAGTAGAAATTGATTGTTAACTGAAGACACTTTTTTTTTGTTGTCGTTTGAAATTGCTCTAATTATAAGTCTGAATTCATTGCAAAATAGGCAGAAAATACTTGAATTCCACACATGACTTATTTAATATACTATATATACTACAAATATTTAGTAAACTATTAAAAACTACGTTATAAACTGAAGGTTTTAATATTACATGAAAATTTCTTTAAGCTAAAGTTGTAACAACTTTGATACTAAATTACAAGAAAATGGTAATAGTTGAAATTAATTTAGTAAACCTATTTTGTTACTAGATGTTTCTATTTTCATTTGTATACTTTACTTTTATTGTGTCTTCAATAGTCTAGTAGAAATTGATTGTTAACTGAAGACACTTTTTTTTGTTGTTGTTTGAAATTGCTCCAATTATAAGTCTGAATTCATTTCAGAAAATACTTGAATTTCACACATAAATTATTTATCACACTATACATACTACAAATCTTTAGTAAACTATTTAAAAAATACGTTACAAACTGAAGGTTTTAATATTATATTGAAATGTCCTGAGCTAAATTTGTAACAACTTTGATATTAAATTACAAGAAAATGGTAACAGTTGAAATTAATTTAGTAAACGTATTTTGTTACTAGAAGTTTATATTTTCATTTGCATACTTTACTTTTACTGTGTCTTCAATAGTCTAATAGAAATTGATTATTAACTGAAGACACTTGTTTTTGTTGTTGTTTCAAATTGCTCCAATTATATATTGGAATTATAGAAAACTTTGCTAGAAATTCATGAAGGAAAATCATACTTTATTTAGTAAACTACGAATGCAGAAAATGTACACTCGTTTAACGAAATAAGGAAGTGAACGTCGGATGTTGTTTGTCCTTATAATAAATAAATATACAACAATTCAAATGCGTCAAAGTGAAAGCAAACAGAGTCGAGTTATTTAACTGTACTTACTGCTAATTGGAATTCCTGTGCAAAGAAGAAGTTGAAAATTTCACGATCTGTCGTTTTGACGCGACTTTTGCTTCTTCCTTTCAAAAACAAAAGAAGAAAGAAAAGAAAAACCAGAAGATGATTGCTACGATCAAAACTAAGTTTCGCGTGTTTCACTCGCGGTCCACACTTTACAAGTGAACGTCGCGCAACTGAATGCTGGCTACAAAGTGCGAGTCCATCTACCTCCACTAATCACTGTCCTACTATTATCACCATCATCAACATCGGACATCCCAGAGCGTTCACATGTTTTACATTTTTAACTTCTTCTCGCGGACAACGAAAATGAAATTGGAAAGAGAATGAGAGAGAGATTTTTGGAAAGGATTTCGATTGATTTCCGTCAAGTGAAAGTGAAAATTGAACGGTTTAGAAATCCGACAAAGTTTCTTCCTTCGTTTAAAATTTTATATATAGAAAAAAAGAAACAACACAAAACGGATTTGCATTAACTTATTTAATAGTTAATCAATTCGTAAACACACTAAAATAGAGAGTAAATCTTTCTATTGATTCATTTATCACTTAACGTTATGTTATCTAGTTAAAAAACACAAAAGATTATTAAGTAATCATTATAGACACTAATAATCTGTTAATCTAAATAAAAATTATGATTACAGATATGAACAATTTCACTTTCACCATTAAAAAAAAAACTCTAATTTTAAAAATCGATACAAATTAATTTCTTATAATTCACTAATTTGAATTGTTTTCGAATCTAATCTTTGTGTTTCTATTTTTGGGATTCGCCGGAATATCGAGTAAATAGATAGTTTTGTTCACAGGAATTTCGGAATTTGCTACAATCTGTTTTTTTTTAATCAATTTTATGAAAAAAATTGAAACTTTTATCAGTTTGCTACACGGTTTAGAATCGTTTACGTTTTTCATCTGAAAAAATGAATAAATCTACAAAATTTCAGTTTGCTGATTTCATAAACTAAACTATGTAGTTTGTAAAGAGGTTACGTTTTCAATTGAAAATAAAAGATATAATTATTCCGTAAAGTCAAAGACAAAATTTCACAAGAAAAGTAAATATAAATTTGAATTTAAAAAATTACAAAGAAATTGTAATGAACATATAATGTCAACTCAACAAAAAAAAATTGAAACGTGTTCCGGGTAATAAAATGAAGTTTGATTAGTCTACAGATTAAGATTAGTTTATACGCTACAATTACGTAACTTAAGCTTAAATATACAGGGATTTGTGGTCATCAGACGACACGTGCTTATTTATTTGATATTTGTTTTGGTATCTAATTTACTGCACTAAAATCCGGATGGATTTAGTTATTATCGAATTAAAATTTTGACAAAACTTTATTTATTTTTGTTGGTAATTCTTGATTTATAATAAAAAATGACATATTAAATATGTATTTGTATATTGCTTCAAGCAGTTGTCAATGACTTTGACACTGTTGTCATAGTAATGACACAAAGTAAACAAATATTAATAATTTATGTCAAGAAGTAAATAGTCACAAACGTCAGATTTTGTCTAATTTACAATGTCATTGATTTTGACTTGAATTGTCCAAAAACCCCCAAAAAGTGAAGTATTTTGATTTATTTAAGACACTTTTTAAATAAAGTTGGTAATTCTTTAATAAAAAAAGGTATTTGCTTATTGCTTCAAGCAGTTGTCAATAACTTTGACACTGTTGTCATAGTAATGTCACAAAGTAAACAAATATTAATAAATTGCGTCAAAAAATAAATAGTTACTAACGTCAAATTTTGACTTGTCTACAAAATCATTGATTTTGACTTGCATTTATTTTGGTTTATTTAAGACGTTTTTAATTAAATTTAGTGATTCTTAAAAAAAGGTATTTGCATATTGCTTCAAGCAATTATCAATGACTTTGACACTGTTGTCATAGTAATGTCACAAATAAAACAAATATTAATAAATTGCGTCAATAAGTAAATAGTCACTAATTTTTTTTAGTTTTTAGAACCCGTGTATTCTTACTAAAACTGTGGCTGACGTAATTCTGTCAGTGTGACACAAGCTGAGTGTACAACAGGAGGTGGAAACCCCAGGAAGTGAAGAAGATTTGCATTTATTTTGGTATATTTAAGACACTTTTTAATTAATGTTGGCAATTCTTAAAAAAAAGGTATTTGCATATTGATTCAAGCAGTTACCAATGACTTTGACACTGTTGTCATGGTAATATAGATAAAATAATTATAAAAAATAAATAGTCATTAACCTAAGATTTTGACGTAACGACAACATCAGGACAATGTCATTAATTTTGAGTTACATCAAATTTAGATTAATTTGGAATTTTCAGTATCAAATTTACTGAAAAACATTAAAACTTAATAGGATTTTTTATTTTTAAATAAGAGATTTCTGCCCTATTTCTACCCCTTTCGGGTTTAACAGTCAACACAATTTTTTATTGGTTTTTGGGAATTGAACCAACGACCTTAATAGGATTATTATTAAAATTAATTGGGAGTTTATAAGTAAGATAATTTTGGTTTATTTAAGACGTTTTTAATTGAAGTTGGTAATACTTGAAACAGTTATATAATAAAAAAAAATGACATACAAAAAAGCGTATTGGCATATTGCATTTATCAATGATTTTGACACTAACAACTACAACAAATAAATTGCATTTAAAATCAGATTTTGACACATCACATCAATGTCATTAACTTTGATTTGTTTGAGATTTTTAGAATCAAATTGACTTTAAAAAGCAGTAATTTTTCTTGTAAAAGGTAAGCAAATCATATTTATTCAATTTCAACGAAGCTAAGATATTTATGCATTCAATTAATAACTATTGTTGCAATATTACAAAAGACTTTGTATATTTTCATAGAAAATTTACAAGCATATGAATATGTATAAATGCAATTAAGTGAATTTCATTGCTAATTAGTTGCAAATGCAGGTACTAACAAATGATTTCGAAATGAATTTCAATTGTAAAATTTTAAAGGAGAATTCATATAATTTCCAATCATTTTAAATATGTGTAAGTCGTAATTATTGTCAATTCATTGTGGTATTACAAACGCGTAGCGTATTTGAAACTTCTCTTTCATGTACAAAAACAAGACAGTTCTTGGTAAAAACACACCTTCTGGACTTTCCTGATTGCGACGAAACGTAAATAATACAACGAAAATGTTTGATATTACATTTCTTTTTTGGTTATGAAAAGAAAGCTGTGAATGTGTTAAAATTGATGTAAGTAGGCGATTATTATGATATGAAAATTAGTAATTAAGTTTAATTACTTTAGATGATCTTCATGTGGATATTTTCATTAAGTTATACAATTGATGAGATTAATCAATTACATAACTAAATATCAAAAATCTATTGAATTCGTTTTCCAAGATGTCTTAAACAAATGTAGAAACATCGAAGGAAACCATAGCAACAAAGTAAACAAAACAACTTGCAGATTTTTTTTTATATAAAGAAAGAAATCATTTTTGTTTGATTCGTATTGGAAATTGTCTTTACTTAATCGTCGATTAACTGTGTAGAATGTGATCTCGCCTTGAATGCGTTTTCTTTCTTTCAAGGGAATGACGTTCGATTATAAGATATTTACGTTTATCCATCTGCTGATTATCATGAGAATACGATGCTGAAGACATTATATAAGTTCACACGCTGATTGCATTTAACGAAATAATAGATTTACATAATCACGTTAATCACCTTCGCAATACAACAACAAAAAAATAATAATAGAATTAAAAATTACCTCGGAACTAATGACAGATACTAATACAATGTTGTTGTTATGGTAACATCATATGATTATTACTAATGACTTTGACAGTGTCGTCATGGTAATGTCACATATAAAACATTTTTCATCGAAAACAATTACTAACCTCAGATTTTGTATACAATTAAATTAATTAAGAATATTGAAGTTAATATTCATAAACCCCTCTAAGACTCCGCAACGATATAACTTGACATAACTAGATAATCCACGGTGTCCAAGTCATGTTATTAATATTAAATAGATTTATTTATTTCAAATTGTAAAGTCTTAAAGCAAATTACATAATTTATTTGGTAAATGTGCTTTATTTATAAATTGCATTGCAGCAATTAACGATGACATTGACAGTGTCGTCATGGTTATGTCACAAACAAAATAAATATTTATAAATTGCATCAAAAAACAATCGCTAATTGCATTCAATACGCATCATTATTAACACAAATTGACACATTTTCTATTATAAATTAGATACAAAACTATGTATATTTGCATTCATTATCTCTGACTTTGACAGTGTCGTCACGGGTAACGTCGCAAATATTTATAAAATTAACAAACAAAATACATATTCATAAATTACAAGAACTATCTTCACATTTTTGACAATGTCACGTCAATATTATTATTGTTTGTAACTGTTTTATGTTAATTATTGTTAATAGTGATGTAGATTATTAACAATAATTAACACATTACTAATTAAATAGAAACTCGTAAGTCAATTACAGAAATTATATTTATGTGCAGTTTGTTGAACTGTTGTACTTTGAATTAACATAATTATTTATGTTTCCTAAACAATGTTTTCGTCTTGTAATTGAAACTAATTGTTAAGTTTATTTATATTATTTTTTCTGATCTATTAGTCTACATTTTATCGTCTATAATTAGGGCTTTACTGCGTTAATTCGTATGTGTAATTTAGGAAACAAGTATTTTGAAGTAATTTTACTCAAAATTTGTTGAACATTTTCGAGCAATCAACAATTTAATCGTCGGTTTTACCAGTCCTAAAGAAACGGCTTTAAACTTAAACTCAAAATTATTGAATATTTATGCTAATTACAATCTTGCCGCAGATTGCAGCAAATACAAATAAAATCTGAGGTTTTGAAATGAAAGTGATTGTGTTGCAATAATTGCATTCGCTACGTTTTTGTATGATTACAAAAAAAAGAGAAGAAAATAACGTGCGAAGGAAATTGGATTTTAGGCCAAAGTAGATTGGTTCGTGTGCGCAAATAACAGACGTCAGAGGTTTTGTTGCACAATTTTAAATTAGTTTTAGTCGCGGATTTATTAAAGATATCTCAATACGAATAAACTTACGGGATTTCAGTAGCTTCTCCTGTTCCTTCTGCCTCTCCAAATGCTCGCTGCTTGGAATGCGAATTTTCTTTCCCATTTTTTTCTTCTCTTCGAATACGATTCTTCGCCTTTCTTTTCTTTAGTCTCAACCACTCGACGTTCGAATGTAAAATATTCCTTTACGTTCCAATGTATTGTTTTTCAGTAATTTTAAGCATTTATAATTAAAATTTCAAATATTTACTTAATAAGATAAGACGCGAGCAGTCAGTCAATCTGACCTCCAGTAGCACCGACAGATTTATATATGGGATCTACGTTAAACTAATTATAACAATATATTCACTATTTATTCCATTACGCACAAAATTGAAATACTATTAACATAAATTTAAGTAAACTTAAGATATTCGTGCGGACTACATTTTTGCCAGATTAGACGCAATCAAAAGTGCCCTCATATCTTAAAATAGAAATTGTTACTGTTTGAAGTTTGCGTGTCTTCAAATTAAAGTTGAAAGTCTCACCTTTCCAGCAAACTTATGGGTATTTTCATAAATTTTAAGTTCCTTGCATACATTGTTTGATGATTTTTGGTATAAAATTTACAAAGTTTGCTTCAATAGCGCAATGTAGGAATACGAAGTCTTCAATATCTGTAAAAAAAACAATAAGTAATATATAAAACTATGTTTCAAACTTCCTTTTAAACATCAATTGACATATATATTGTCAAATGCAATACAAAAGTTACAGTTATGTAATGACAGTTGTAATGTCAAATATATTTGATGTTTTAGTTACTTGATGAATGTCTCCAATTAATTTACACTTATATATAATGCATGTTTCATCATAACTGAACATTTAAATTAATCAAATGACATAATAATTGTTAAATGTCAACGGAAAACTGGAATTTCTATGTTGCAACAAAATTATATAATGACAATTATAATGTCAAATATGATTGATGTTTTATTTAATTTACAGTTAGATTTAATGCATGTTTCATCATAACCGAACATGTCAATTGATGCAATGACATAATAATTGTCAAATGTACAAAGGCAACTGAAAATTCTATGATGCAACAAAATTATATAATGACAAGTATGTTTGACGTTTTGATAAGTCGATGATTAAATAGAAATTTTACCGCTAAAAATGTCTCGAAAGACATGACTCCGAAGTCGCCAGTCTTCAGGGCCAAAGGTCTTTGGCTGCGTATAATCATGAGGATCAAATCCTTGCGAAACTTGGACGGATATTGGAACCAGTTTAGGTTGTACACGCACAGAGGCAAAGAACTGCTCTGGAAATTTAAAGAAAAAATGAAATTATATATAGAAAATGTGTAGTATATACTTCATCTAAAAGCCTTTGTCCGGAAACTGAGACGATCATCAGGGTGATGACCCAACCCATCAAATGCAGCAGAACGCGCAACGAACTTTCCTGAGAAAATTTGTAAATGGAAATTAGTCGGTTATAAAATATGCTTTGTTAAGTATACAATTAGGAATTGCAGAACCAAAATCCCGATGATCATTGTATCGACAAGAACTGCGACGAACATGAATATCGAGAAGCATCTATTCATCTGATCGGTTAATCTGGAAATATTGCTGGTAATATTTATTGTATATTAGAATTGTATTGAATATACTTGATAATTGAGTTGTGATAGATGACGCAGTTTTTGAAACGCTTTTGCTTCTCTTGCAGCGAATCCATCTCGTCGATCTGCTTCAATGAGTGCTTCAGATGTTTAATCCTCAAGATGATGTGCTCGACAATGGAGAAAATGAGAGCGTAGATCGCGCCGTACGCGGAGACGATGAACAAAGCGCAACCGTTTTGTAGTGCAAAAAGTATTTGGTTTTGCGGCGTCGATTGTGCATCAACATTGTACCAAGCCTGAACGACCAAACCGCAGATCCTCTCCAGATGCGACTCTTCCTTATTCTTCAAGCATTTCGATTTGTTGATGGGACCCAAGGAAGTGTAATAGAAGAGACTCAAAACGACTGCGTACTTGTAAAAGATGATGCACATATCTATGATTTTGCGTTTGCGTTCGAAACCGATCGGTTTTCCGAGCACCTTGAAGGCGTTCAGTTCGGTTAACAGTGCCCAAATCTCTTTGCGTTTCATACCGAATCCGAAGATGGCCAAATTCATGCCGATTCCGGCAACGATCATCGCGCAGTCCTCAACGAAATCGCTCAAATAACCTTTGCTCACTTTGCCTGAAAACCTGAATCCTTTAGTCTATTGTTAACTAATCGTTTTGGTTTTGTTTTTACTGGTGATGAAATGCATCGACGATCCGAACATCACGAAGGATTGATAGAAGAATCTGACGAGCACGACTACAATGGTGGGTTTATTCCACAGTTTGCAGAAACGCAGGTAGACGAAGTTCTCGTAGAAGATGTTGTCATCTTTGCTGAAAGTCTCCATGACTCTTTGTTCGCGTTTCGTACCTGCATTTACCTATAAATACGCAATCGGAGCAAAATAATAATAGTAAAAAAACTGATTTATTTCATTTAGCCTGTAATTACAAGCATTTTAATTATTCACTCAAACAAAATGAACAATTAATTCTGCGAATTCCTTTCAAAATACAAAAATCAATTAGAATACTTTAAAATTTTAATAATAGCTTCAGTTTTTTATCCTTCCTTTAATTTATTACCTCTGCATCATCCAAAACACTTTGATTATTCATTCAAATATCTACTTGATATTATATACACTAATAAGTTAGTGGAAATAATGTTCCTTTATAAAGGACATCAAATAAAACAACGGTCATTTACTAAATATTCCTTATAATATTAAACGATACAAAGCATGTTAGTAAAAAAAGGAAGAAACATTACAATAAGAATAATAATAAAACGGTGATGTTCACGAAGAACTTTTGGAAAAACGATAAACGTGTTTTCTTTTTCTCGATGAAGTTCTCAAAAAAACATTTTTTTTTTAAATATATGTAACAAAAATTAACATGAATTAAAACGGAACGATTTCATAAAGGGACGTGCTGAAAGGGATGTGGGTTGGTTGGTTGTTTTTTTTTTTCATATGTAACAACGATCACTATTCTCACTAAATATTCGCGCATTCTCTGCGGTAGTATAAAAAAATAATTCCTAAACAGTACTGAGATTACCAACGTAGGCAAAGATATTTTTTGTTTTGTTTTCTGTTTGCTTTCGACAATTCTCTTTTTAAAATGAGAATCCACCGTTGGGCATCTGCGTGGTCGTGTGCGGGTTGAAGGAAATCTGTCCGTCGGCGTTCGTCTGAGGCCCAGCCAGATCTGCGTCTCCTCCCTAAAAGTATAGGAAATATTAGTACAAGACAATAATCATGAGGATTGATGTTACGATTTACAATAATTGTTTTTCAGAGGTATCAAATATGAAGAAATACTTACTTCTGAGAAGAAGTTCTCGATAATTTGCAGAGCCTTGTCGTAGACCTTCTCGTTGTCGTGACTCTGCAGGGCTTCCAGAGAATCCAGTCCGCCGCATTCCTCGATCATGATAGCGACTTTCTCGGCTTCGCCCAATTTGTTCGCAGCAGACAGGATGTTCGTCAATCCATCCAGAATGATAACGACGGTCTTGCACTCCTTCGAGTTGAGCAGATTGCACATGGGCTTCAGCGCGCCCATCTCCACCAGTTTACCCAGCTGCTCGATGGTTCCGCCGCTCGTGTAATTGGTTACAGCCCAGGCGGCCTCCTTCTGCGATTTGAAATCGCCAGTCTGCAACACGTATAGCAGTGTGTCCATGACGCCGGCCTGCAGGACCTTCTGGATTTGTTCAGAATTGCCGGCCGTCATATTGGACACGCTCCATGCTGCCTCCTTGACGATGTTCACCCTCGGATGCCTGAGCAGTTTGCACATCACGTTCAGCACACCAGCATTGATGACGGTATCAGTTTGCTGATCGTTGCCGGTGACGATGTTACCCACGGCTCTCAAGGCGGGCGTCAGCACGGTGATCTCGTCGCTCTTCAGCAGCTCCACGAGCTTATTGATTAATCCGGTGTCCAGCACCGCTTGGATCTTCTCGTTGGTCCCATCCGTCAAGTAACTCAACGCCCAGCAGGTGTCTGCCAGAACGTCCTTATCGTTGTAGTACAGGAGCTGCGCTAAAGTGGGAAGACACGCTTTCACGCTGTTGAATTCCACCGGGGGGTTCTTGTTGCGACACAGATTGGAGATGGCCCAGACGACGTTCCTCAAGAGCGTGATCGAGGTGTCAGGTTTGATGCAGCTCAAGAGAATGGGAAGGATGTTGTTTTGCAAAACCATGTCGCGAGTCACGGGACCATCGCCGGCAATATTGCCGATGGCCCAGACCGCTTGCTCAGCAACATCCAACCTAGGTGACATCAACAGCTCCTTCAGTTTCGGCAAAGCCCCTTCATGGACCACAGCCTGTGTCTGCTCGGACGTTCCAGATGCGATGTTCGTTAAAGCCCAGCAAGCTTCAAATTGTAACGAAGGGCTACCAAATAAAAACAAGTCAATTATAACAAAAGTGCAAAGAAAACAAATCTAATAATTACTTGTGAACTTTGGACAGGAATTCGACGCATTTCGGGACCACCCCAAGGCGAATCATGTGATCAATCGGTGGATTCCTCTCTCTGCTGAGTATCTTACGACAAGCCTGTGTGGCTTTCAATTGGATATCCTCATCATTGCACATCATACCTACAAATACATCCATTAATGTAAATTACAGTTAAAATCTAATCATATGTCACCTCTGAGGATTTCCTCAGCTGTCATCTGGCTGGGAGAGTTTGGATTAATATCCTGCTGCGGGGAAGTGAGCAGCTCATCCTCCAAGACAATGTTACGTCTCTTGAGCAACTGGTCATCCTTCCTGGCCTTCCTCAGCTCCACAGTCTGCCCAATACGCCTCCTCCGCATCTCCTGCAATCACATTTCAATATAAAAAACATATTCAATCAGATTCCTATCATCTTCACTCACATCGCTGTCCTTTCCTTTGTTCTTGAACGAACGAATTCTTCCTTCATCGGCCATCGTTGAACTGAAAATACGAATACAATGTTGAAATGAAAAAACAATTGCCGGTGGTTGAGACGTAGCAGCAAATTCGAAGAGTCCTTGACTCTGGTGGCATGTGTCGTGCGTTTGCTGCGAACGTTACCGTAGGTCAAGAGAATTGGGGGTACTCACCTGTGTACAGGAAATTAACGAAAATAATAAAAAAAACAACAACAACGGGGTCTAACTACCACGAGACGGACGAGGTACACTGAAATTACAAGAGCGGACAACGCAAGGCGTGCGAGTTGACGGAAATGCGAGTTACAAAAAAAAGTCGAGGAGACGTTACTTTGATGAATTCTGCAACGGAATAGCGCTCGCTCCGTATTGGTGCGTTTCGAATAGCAACCGCCTGTTGAGATTTAAACGGACCAATCCAAACGCAACAATTTGACACTTCCAAAACGAACTCTCCTACACATTACGGCGCTAAATTCGAAATTTTATACACGTCAGTTAGCCAAAAATGAAAAACACTTATCAATTTCTTTATATCCAATGCGATTTAAACATTCCACAGATCAAACATACCATATAGTCGTGATTATCATCAGTTTACGTAACTTTACAATTTAGGCGGTAAATTTAAAAAAAACATAATATTATTATTATAGGTGGAGCTATTCTGGGAACTCATGTTTCCCAACTCATTTGTGAAATACCAAAGTTTGTTAATCAATTATGATGACACCATTGCAGCTATAAAGTAACATTTGGGCTCATTTTAATCCGTGTATATTCAAGATCGACATCCATGTGTAACATTCTTCTGGGAGCTCAAGTTTACGAAAATACAGGTAATTTTCGAAGTCACTATTTTCCCAACTCATTTGTGAAATACTAAAGTTTGTTAAAAAATTATGAGGACACCATTGCAGCTACAAAGTAACATTTGGGCTCATTTTAATCCGTGTATATTCAAGATCGACATCCATTTATAACATTCTTCTGGGAGCTGAAGTTTACGAAAATACAGGTAATTTTCGATGTCATTATTTTCCCAACTCATTTGCGAAATACCAAAGTTTGTTAATCAATTA